TTTTGTGAAAATTTCATCTAGGCCCTTAATCAATACCATAATGCCCTATTTTATTGTATTCTCTATGAAATTCTACTCTTTTCACTCCCACCTTTTCAACTAATTTTGAGTGAAGAGACCATTTTACCCTTAATATAAGTTTAGGCATTTTCTTCATATTCTCTTAAAATATTCCAACAAAAATTAACTAAGGGCTAAAAACATAATTTAAATCATGTACCTCTATGTTGGGCGTTACAATGATTCATTTCTTTGTAATTCAATTACTTAGATTTAAATATTGATTTTTTTTTTGTGTAGTTCTTTAAATGACATGAGAACTAAAGTCTACAATGTGTGTTCTCGAATGATCCAAAATTGTCTTTTTGCAGATTGGCTATATGGCGATATATGGGATGGTTCTAGTCCGGGTTTGGAGGGTGTTGAGAGATGGGTTTAAGAGGGATTTGTCAGCAAGGCTGATTAGTAGGCAGTTTGTGGAAGTCAAAGTATGTGTGATGTTTCAAAGGAGAAGTTTTGGAGTTTAGTGTTCATCTTCGAGGAAGGTTGTTTCTCGAGTACATGAGGTTGTTTTGTGGAGGAAGAAGAGTCAAGCAGTTACGAGGTTCAAGATGTCTAATTTCAAGATTCTTGATCGTGTAGCCTTGGCCTTGCTAGGCGGGTATGTTTGTGTGAGAATTCAAATGTTTATTGGAAATTTGATGGCGGTGTTTGATTGTTTTTGTGATTTAATTGAATTGAGATTTCCTGTAGGTTGATGAGGTTGTTTTTGAAGCCATTGTGAATGATTCTAACAGGTTTCATTTCTTTTTTGTTTCCTTCTCATTATCTCTTATGATATGTTAGACTAAGGCGTGAACTTATGATGTTTGTATTGTGAGATTGCAGCCCTTTGTATAACAAGAGTTGTGCTAGAAAACTAGATGAAACGTAAGATCAATTGAGGAGTGAGTAACTTCTATTGCTACTGGCAGTGTTTTGGAACCAGCTGGCAGTGCTTTTGGGAACCAGCATGGTTATGGTGATGGCATTCTACTTGTAATGTCTGGTATTATTTCTTTCATACATTACATATATTTTCCATGTGAAGTTATAGATTGATTATGGTACATAGCATAATGGTATGGTTTTGTCCATAGATCTCCATTAAATTGGATATGATATTTTTAGCTACTGCCAATGTATTAGCTTCCAAGAATTGCATAACTTCTCTTACTTTGTCACATTTAATGCATATACAGTATGTGTTATGCGTGTGCTGTGCACGTGTGTGTGATGGGATAAATGAGTAACATCCTGTTAATTGTTTTTTTTTTTTTTTTTTTAAATCATAAATGAACTTGATTAGTTCTCAAACCCAGCAGCCAACATGATGGAAAGTAGAGACCATTTTCGAAGGGTAATCTTTTTCTTTTATAGAGTAAAAATTTGATGATTTATGTGCCAACTTAATGTAATCTTAAAAGCACTTACTCTTTAAGTTTTCTTAATGTCTAAATGCAATTGAATTTTTTTTTTTCTTGGTGCTTTCATGCAACCAGACTAAATTTAGTAACCCATTATTTTCTTTGAGTATAAACTCAAACTTCTTGCAGAAAGAGTTTTTCAAATAGAAATTTTTAAGTTTTTAGTGAACTTTTGCGTAGAACTTAAGTTTGGATTAAAACATATGCGGATGGTTGACAAATTCTTGGATATTCATATTCATATATGGCTAATTTGACTAACCTATTGACTTGAGGACGAACTAAGCTCCAGCATCAAGCTTTTTGGAGAATCAATGATACATGTTTCATTATCAATTTTTGATATATTCAAGGAGCTTGGAACTACAGTTCTTGTCTTTCTCTCTGTGCTTGACTAAGAGTTGTTCCACCTACAACAATAACCTATACACCACCTGTTGAGCAACCGGAAGTGGTCATTCCAAATGTAGCGAACCATTGCCCCACTCACAGGTGCTTACTTTAAACCATTGTTTGTTTATGAAATTTCATATTATTACTGATTTATTTCTGAATGTAAATTGATTCAGTTTTGATTCCTTTATTATGCAGCCAACCTTTGGCAGTGATGGTCATAGTGAGCATTGATGGGCGTGACATTCGGAATAATTTAATTAACACTTCTTTTTTGGCGTAGACACATTATGAACCATCTAAAAAAAAAAATAGTGTCCATTTATTTTGTTTTTCTGTGTCTTACAAACAATGTTATATTGCAAAGTGTTTATCAATTAAGCATATTTTATTATCAAAAAGTTGCAAACTTACATTCTTAGATAGGTTATACATGTTTTTGTTGTGGACTCTGTAGCCAGTAATAGTTTGTGTTTTGTGGCGAATAGAGTTTGTGTTGAATGATGAAGGATGACAAGTTTCAAAATGGTGAAAGATTAACTATTGGACATTCAATGGTTATATTCCATGCAGGAACTACTAGTTTTAAGAAGGGTAAAATTGTCATTTCAATTATATTATTATGTACCAAATTGTTGTAAAAAAAGTGTTGCAACTCTTCTTCTGCTTTGAAAAGGAAATATATTCCTATCACTAAAATATTTCAGTATTATTTCGTTCTTCAATTAGTTAATTTATTTGTGTCAAAACCACTCTCATAAGTTGCGAGATTTTCAACTTTTATCTATTGATAATATAATAAATAAACCAGCGCAACGTGGGGCGTGGGATCTGGTAATAATTATAATTTGAGTGGCAATTTGTAAGAAAGTCTAATAATTGGAGAAACTAATCCATTAATAACAATAAAAATAACAAATCAACAATGTTACCGTTTCCTAAAGAAGTATTATTTTACTCTTCTTATAAAAGAGTTGTCGTTATTGTTCAAATAAATGCTTTTTGCCTAGTGTAGCTGTCCACCACCAACACCACTTTCCACCTTACACATTTTTCGATTTCATACCACCACACGCTCTTTCAAGTGTGAGACTGAAAAAATATCTAAAATTCAATGGATGAGTATCAATCCATCAACATTCAGTATATATATATATTTTTATAAATANGTTTTTCTGTATCTTATAAACAATGTTATATTGCAAAGTGCTTATCAATTAAGCATATTTTATTATCAAAAAGTTGCAAACTTACATTCTTAGATAGATTATACATGTTTTTGTTGTGGACTCTGTAGCCAATAATAGTTTGTGTTTTGTGGCGAATAGAGTTTGTGTTGGATGATGAAGGATGACAAGTTTTATTTTATTTTATTTTTGCTCATTTCATGGTGCTGGGCATCCTTTTAAAATGGTGAAAGATTAACTGTTGGACATCAAAGCAATGGTTATATTCCATGCAGGAACTACTAATTTTAAGAAGGACAAAATTGTCATTTCAATTATATTATTATGTACCAAATTATTGTAAAAAAAGTGTTGCAACTCTTCTTTTGCTTTGAAAAGGAAATATATTCCTATCACTAAAATGTTCCAGTATTATTTCGTTCTTCAATTAATTAATTTATGGAAAATGATAGAGCCACCGAAGGTTGCGCACCGAATGACGTGACAAAATCCTGACCATTGATTGATATTAACTGATAATAAATAAATGGTCAGGATTTTGCCACGTCATTTGGTGCACAGATTCGGTACACAACCTTCGGTGACTGTAGCATTACTCTTAATTTATTTGTGTCAAAACCACTTTCATAAGTTGCGGGATTTTCAACTTCTATCTATTGAATTCAATTAATTCAATTCCTACAGAATTACAAACTAACCATTTCAATCTTTCATCACTTGCATTTTATCAAATTAAAAAAGGAATGTGAAAGATCTGTACTACATACATTAATTGAATGCATGTGAATCATCCATATTTTATCAACACCAATAAGCAGAAAACACGGGGATCAATTAACGACATCCTAAATGGCAATCATATAACGATTCTCAGCAATCTTTAAACATAAAAACCCCGATTAAAAAAAAAAGAACAACAATAAAACGTTCTATTATAATCAATATTTGACATATTTTTTTGTAAAATAATAGTTATTTATAATTTCTTAAAATATAAAAATTTGATAATAAAATAAAACAATATAATAAATAAACCTACGTAATGTGCGGACGTAGGATCTAGTAATAATTATAATTAGAGTGGCAATTTGTAAGAAAGTCTAATAATTGAAGAAACTAATCCATTAATAACAATAAAAATAACAAATCAACAATGTTACCGTTTCCTAAAGAAGTATTATTTTACTCTTCTTATAAAAGAGTTGTCGTTATTGTTCAAATAAATGCTTTTTGCCTAGTGTAGCTGTCCACCACCAACACCACTTTCCACCTTACACATTTTTCGGAAACTTCAATTTCATACCACCACACGCTCTTTCAAGTGTGAGACTGAAAAAATATCTAAAATTCAATGGATGAGTATCAATCCATCACCATTCAGTATATATATATTTTTATAATTAATAAAATTAGAACAAAATAACTATGTGATAAATTCTTGACAAAATCCGAAAATAATCAATCATATTAATAGTAAAATTAATTTGATTTGTAATATAATGTTTAACGAAACCTTCAACCCAACCAAGTAAACTCATTTACCTAATCTATTAGTGTGACAATCTCAGGAGACAAGATCTATAGGACAGAGAATTTGTCACATTTCTAGTCATTAACAAAAATCTCTAATATTGAATATATAAGACTTAAATCCTATAACTATAGGACGGCTTTGCATATATATATACATACACCACCCCTATTATCAAAACTTATTAAATAAAACACCAAAACATCTTAATTGACCAATGGTGGAGTGGTTGCTTTATATAATATTAGAAATATTATTTGTCCTACATCACCAATTTTTAGTGGACTAATAATGTAATATGATATCTTAGAACTAGTTTTCGGAGTAAATTATACTCAAACCCATTTTATCATGAATTCATGCTGTCAGAACCACTTCTATAATTGAAATCAAACTACAACAGAATTATTACATATAGTATTATAAAATAACTTTGAACTTTATATTATAAGAAACAAATAACCAGAGTTCAGTTCACAGTAGTCCACAAGATTCAACAGCTAGATCCAAATAAAACTACTATATAATAATAATAATAATATAAGCCCAAAAATCCTGAAAATTTAACGATGATGCGGGCAGAAAGTGACCAAATAATTTCCCCGAGTGCACGTAGCAATGCTAGTGGGATCATCGTACGCATAGCTGTATGCCTTGGGACACGCCGTCTTGAAAATCCTCGAGTACGCCGTCGGTTTGCAGCTTTGCGGATTCCCGAAGCTCCCTGTACAGCAATACCTCGGAGAGTTAAACGCAAAGCACGCGCTTTTACACGCCATCACGCTTCTGTTATCCTTCGACCGGACCTGCAGCCCCACCGGGCACATCAAGTTCAGGTCGCTCACGCACCCGGCGTAGCTGCATTTTCCAGATCCTCGAGACGGGGTGATGGAGATCGCCAGGTTGTAGCCGTCGACCAAACTGACGTCGTAGAAGTCTTGCTCTTGTCCCAGAGTGATTTCGGCAAGAGTGGCGGGTGGAGTGCCGCCAATGCCGTTGCAGAAGAGGGAGCCGCCGCAGTCTCCCGTGGCGCAGCGGCCACGGCCGGTGGCGTCGAAGGAGCAGCCGTGGCGGCCCCAGAAGCGGCCTGACCAGAGAGCCGGGAGGCGAAGAGTGTGGGCCTTGTTGGGTGGAAGCTTGAAGCCGCCGCGAGCGAGAAGTGGCTTGCCGGCGCTCGGTTGGATCCCCGGCCACACGGGGTGCGCGCATTTGTTGTATAGAGTAAGTACAGTGGCCGAAACTGAAACTATTAAACAAAAATGCAAAAAATAAAAATTAACCACATTGAATGAACACAAACCCGAAAAAAAGAAAGAGAAACAGAAAGAAAGTACCTTGAATGCATAAGAAAAAGAGAGTAAAGAGTATGAAAGTGAGGAGAGATATCAGCATTGCCGCCATAGCTGAACCTGGAAGATGTGGAAGGAAGTGAAGAAGAGAAAGTTGAACACTGTCAAAGCCCCAACTATAGTAATGCTTTTATAGAGAGAGAGAGAAGGAGGGTAGGGACGCAGGGTTAGTGAAAATAAAGAAAGTTGAAATTATGAAGTTAGGTTAAGTAAATAATGAATTCAGATTGCAGTACATAATGCAACGCGCGAGTAAAGAAAAATTAAACCCTTTTCTCAGAGCGAAAAAATCTGTGAAAATGAGGCTTCTTTTTTCAACGTAATGGGGTGGGAGAAAGAGAGAAAAGATTAAAAGAATGGTGAAATATGATGACAAAGTTCTCAGTTCTCGAGGGTGTCAGATGGGTGAGTGACTGTGTGGGGGATAGGCTGTCTGCATCCGAGAAAAAAGTTAAGGCTACTCACATGGAAGGGGGAATCCCTCTGTTGCTGCTGGTGACATTTGGAGGAGTGAATGAAAATTTGAGAGAAAATGGGGAGTAGTGGGGCAGTGGAATGAAGGAAATAAGGGTTACAAACCCTTACGTCTATTTATAAATTCACTTTCATTTTGCCCTACACTTTTGTGAAAATATCTAGTCCCTTATCAATTACCATAATGCCCTTATTTTTATTGTATCTCTATGAAATTCTACTTCTTTCACTCCACATTTCAACTAATTTTGAGTGAAAAGACCATTTTACCCTTAATAAAGTTTAAGGCATTTTTTCATATTCTCTTAAAATAATCCAACAAAAATTAACTAAGGGCTATAAACATAATTTAAATCATGTACTCTCATGTTGGGCGTTACAATGATTCATTTCTTTGTATAATTAATTACTTAGATTTAAATATTGATTTTTTTTTTTTATGTTCCTTAAAATGACATGAGAACTAAATGTCTACATTGTTTGTTCTTAGAATGATCCAAATGTCTTTTTGCAGATTGGCTATGGCATATATGGGATTGGTTCAGTCCGGGTTTGAGGGTGTTGAGAGATGGAGTTTAAGAGGGATTTGTCAGAAGGCTGATTAGTAGGCAGTTTGTGGGAAGTCAAAGTCATGTGTGATGTTTCAGGAGAAGTTTGGAGGTAGTGTTCATCTCGAGGAAGGTTGTTTCTCGAGTTAATCTAGAGTTTTTTGTGGAGGAAGAAGAGTCAAGCATGTTACGAGGTTCAAGATGTCTATTTCAAGATTCTTGATCGTGTTAGCCTTGGCCTTGCTAGGCGGGTATGTTTGTGTGAAGAATCAAATGTTATTGGAAATTGATGGCGGTGTTTGATTGTTTTGTGATATGAATTGAGATTCCTGTAGGTTGATGAGGTTGTTTTTGAAGCCATTGTGAATGATTCTAACAGTTCATTTCTTTTTTGTTTCCTTTCATTATCTTCTTTGATATGTTAGACTAAGGGTGAACTTATGATGTTTGTATGGAGATTGCAGCCCTTTGTATAACACAAGAGTTGTGCTAGAAAATAGATGAAACGTAAGATAATTGAGGAGTGAGTCAACTATTGCTAGCTGGCAGTGCTTTTGGGAACCAGCATGGTTATTGGTGATGGCATTCTAACTTCGTCAATGTCTGGTATTATTTCTTTCATACATTACATATATTTTCCATTATGAGTATAGATTGATTATGGTACTAGCATAATGGTATGGTTTTGTCATAGATCTCACCAAATTTGATATGATATGTTTAGCTACGCACAATGTATAGCTTCCAAGAATTGCAACTTTCTCTATCTTGTCACATTTAATGCATATACAGTATGTGTTTATGGTGTGCATGTGCACGTGTGTGTGATGGGAAAATGAGTAACATCCTTTAAGTTGTTTTTTTTTTTAATCATAAATGAACTTGATTAGTTCTCAAACAACAGCCAACATGATGGAAAGTAGAGACCATTTCGAAGGGTAATCTTTCTTTTTATTAGAGTAAAAATTTGATGATTTATGTGCCAACTTAATGTATCTAAAAGCAATACTCTTTAAGTTTTTTTCTAATGTCTAAATGCAATTGAATTTTCTTGGTGCTTTTATCGAACCAGACTAATTTAGTAACCCATTATTTTCTTTGAGTATAAACTCAAACTTCTTGCAGAAAGAGTTTCAAATAGAAATTTTAAGTTTTAGTGAACTTTTGCGTAGAACTTAAGTTTGGATTAAAACTATGCGGATGTTGACAAATTCTTGGATATTCATATATATTGGCTAATTGACTAACTCTTGACTTGAGGACACAACTAAGCTCCAGCATTAAGCTTTTGGAGTCAAGATACATGTTTCATTATCATTTTTGATATATTCAAGGAGCTTGGAACTACACGTTCCGTCTTTCTCTCGGCTTGACTAAGAGTTGTTCCACCTACAACAAAACCTATACACCACTTTGTGAGCAACCGGAAGTGGTCATTCCAATGTAGCCAACCCTTGCCCCACTCACAGGTGCTTACTTAAACCATTGTTTGTTTATGAAATTTCATATTATTACTGATTTATTTTGAAGTAAATTGATTCAGTTTTGATTCCTTTATTATGCAGCCAACCTTGGCAGTGAGGTCACAGAGCATTGATGGGCGTGACATTGGAATAATTTAATTAACACTTCTTTTGGTGTAGACCAATGCCATCTAAAAAAAAAAAAAATAGTGTCCATTTATTTGTTTTTTCGTCTTAAAACAATGTTAATTGCAAAGTGTTATCAATTAAGCATTTATTTATCAAAAAGTTGCAAACTACATTCTTAGATAGTATACATGTTTTTGTGTGGGACTCTGTAGCCAATAATAGTTTGTGTTTTGTGGCGAATAGAGTTTGTGTTGATGAGAAGGATGACAAGTTAAATGCATATTATCTTTAAATGGTGAAAGATTAACTTTGGCATCAACAATGGTTATATCCATGCAGGAACTACTAATTTTAAGAAGGTAAAATTGTCATTTCAATTATATTATTATGTACAAATTTGTAAAAAAAGTGTTGCAACTCTTCTTTTGCTTTGAAAAGGAAATATATTCCTATCACTAAAATTTCGTATTATTTCGTTCTTCATTAATTATTTATGGAAAGATGATAGAACGCCAGGTTGCGCACCGAATGACGTGACAAAATACTGACCATTGATTGATATTAACTGATAATAAATAAATGGTCAGGATTTTGCCACGTCATTTGGTGCACAGATTCGGTACACACCTTCGGTGATCGAGCCATTACCTTAATTTATTTGTGTCAACAACCATTTCATAAGTTGCGGGGATTTTCAACTTCTACTATTGAATTCAATTAATTCAATTCCTACAGAATACAAACTAACCATTTAATCTTTCACACTTGCATTTTCAAATTAAAAAAGGAATGTGAGAAAGATCTGTACTACATACATTAATTGAATGCATGTGACATCCATATTTTATCAACACCAATAAGCGAAAACACGGGATCAATAACGACATCCTAAATGGCAATCATATACTAAACGGGGTATCAGCAAGCTTGAAATATTATTCTTTCATTTTCTCTCTTATTCTTTCTTTTCTTATTCTTTGCCGATCGGACTCGGTTGATATATGGATTTGGAATCTTAGACATGTAAGTGAGTACAGTCCTCATCTACATGCACTCTTGCGGCCCGTACACTTCTTCTTTCTTCTTAGCCCACTCAATTAAGGTGGCGTGCATGTAAGAATTCTTCTTGGTACAACCCTCATCCACATACACTCTTACGGGCCGTACAATTCTTCTTCTTCTTATGCCACTCAATTAAGGTGGCGTGTATGTGAGAATTTCTTCTTAGCACTCATGGTTCCCTATCACAACAACCTATTCTTTTCTCTTCTTTAACACTCTTTAATTCTTTAATGCTTATTCTTCATTTCTCTTTATTCTTAGATTGTTTTATTCTTTCTTTCTTTATTCTTTATTCTTTATGCTTTATTCTTTATTCTTTGATCTTCATTCTTTATTCTCTATTCTTTCTTAAATTTCTATACATACACAATTATATGCATATGGATGGCTCATGCTTGAAATTCTTACTTGGATGCACTCATGAAATGCAAATATGCAATGTTGCATAAAATTAAGGTTTCTACTCAAACTTATATTTCTCTTAGGCATTTCATCAAACATTACTTGTACATAAACAAACCTTAATTTAATTATCATTCAATTTGTTTCTCAACCATCCAAAAATGAGAAAAAATCTCTCTTGAAGCATCACCATACCTACATGGCAAACACACTCCTAAAAATTCCTCTAATTCTTCCAATTTCAACCCATCATCAAACCATCACATACACTTCTCATATTCAAGTATATCCAACAACAAGCATAATTCATCATCAATTTCATCTTAATTTCTCAATAATCATAACATATGCACACTTAAAAGAAATCTCTACTCACTTGAATTCTTAAACTTTAACTTAAGTTGGATTTTGAGTGGAATTTACTTACCTTATGCTTGAGTCTTCTCTACTAAGCTCTCTACTCTTGTTGGATTCAAAACTTCTTCTAACTCTAAGCATAAACTTCATAAGAACTCAACTTTTACACAAATAAATCATAGATAAAGAGCATGAATTCTTACATTTTGAAGTCTAGAATCAAAACCCTATTAAAAATCGCTTAAAAGCCCTCAAAACCTCGAAGGGTGAATGAAAATTTGAGAGAAAATGGAGAATAGTGTGGCAGTGGAATGAAGGAATAAGGGTCACAAACCCATCGTCTTATTTTTAAATTCACTTTCCATTTTGCCCTTACCTTTTGTGAAAATTTCACTATGCCCTTATCAATTACCATATGCCCTTATTTTATTGTATATCTCTATGAAATCTACCTCTTTTCACTCCCCCTTTCAACTAATTTTGAGTGAAGAGACCATTTTACCCTTAATATAAGTTTAAGGCTTTTCTTCATATTCTCTTAAAATATTCCAACAAAATTAACTAAGGGCTATAAACATAATTTAAATCATGTACCTCTATGTGGGCGTACAATGATTCATTTCTTTGTATAATTCAATTACTTAGATTTAAATATTGATTTTTTTTTTTGTATGTTCTTTAAATGACATGAGAACTAAATGTCTACAATTGTTTTTGTTCTCAAATGATCCAATGTCTTTTTGCAGATTGGCTATATGGCGATATAGGG